CCGCGTCAGGCTCCCTGCTCTGCAGGAAGCCTGCTTCTCCCTCTCCCACTCCCCCTACTTGTGTTCCCTCTCTGGCTGTGTCTCTCTCTGTCAAATAAATAAATAAAATCTTTAAAAAAATTAATAAATAAAAAAAGCTCTGTAGCTCAATCTCATGTTTGCCCCTGATTAATAATCACTGATCAAATACCTGCCTTTTAGAGATGAAGAGGCTTAGAAAAGCAAGGTTCGTTTGCCCGAGATCACATAGCTAGATAAAAGTACAGAAAATATGCATGAAGTATGATCCACATTCAAACTGCCTATATATACAGGCAGGTTTGGGGGTAATCACCTAACCCATGTTCTGGGTGAATCTGCCACGCCAGCCACAGAGCCTGATAACCAGAACAGATGGTGTGTATAGGCTGGCCAGTAACCTATACCTCATTGGGCTCAACTTAAAAATCAAGCTAAGGGGCGCCTGGATGGCTCAGTTGGTTAAGCGACTGCCTTCGGCTCAGGTCATGATCCTGGAGTCCCAGGATCGAGTCCCGCATCGGGCTCCCTGCTCGGCAGGGAGTCTGCTTCTCCCTCTGACCCTCCCCCTCTCATGCTCTCTCTCTCTCTCGCTCTCAAATAAATAAATAAAATCTTAAAAAAAAAAAAAATCAAGCTAAGTCCACAAAATTTCCTTCCCTGGAATTTGACCTAAGAAATAAAGGAAAATCTTGAGTTGGTTGTGGGTGGTAAACCTGAGCAAGCACGGCTGTGATGAGCTATATGCAAATTCAATGAAGACAAAGAGGACACCTGTCTACAGAGAAGAAAGCAGAGATGCCATGGAAGAGGGGAGGAGGAAGAAAAAGGAGTGAGACTGGGGCGCCTGGGTGGCTCATTTGGTTAAGCGACTGCCTTCGGCTCAGGTCATGATCCTGGAGTCCCGGGATCGAGTCCCGCACCAGGCTCCCTGCTCAATAGGGAGTCTGCTTCTCCCTCTGACCCTCCCCCCTCTCATGCTCTCTATCTCATTCTCTCTCTCAAATAAATAAATAAAACCTTAAAAAAAAAAAAAACTCTTAAAAAAAAAAAAAGGAATGAGATCAACCTCCAATCCTGACTTCTTTGCAATTCTGGTTCCTGTGAAGCCTGGCTGTCCAGCAGTTCCTGTTCTTGGCTTTTTATAAGCTCTGCTATATCCTTACAATATCTCGTTTTCCCTAAGCTGATTTGACTGGCTTTCTGTACTTTCTATTAGAGTACTGATTAAAAGTACCAAGCCTGGGGCGCCTGGGTGGCTCAGTTGGTTAAGCGACTGCCTTCGGCTCAGGTCATGATCCTGGAGTCACTGGATCGAGTCCCGCATTGGGCTCCCTGCTCGGCAGGGAGTCTGCTTCTCCCTCTGACCCTAACTCCTCTCATGTGCTCTCTCTCATTCTCTCTCAAATAAATAAAATCTTAAAAAAAAATAAAAAATAAAAATAAATAAATAAAAGTACCAAGCCAAAGAACTTTGATCTCCAATGTAAATACAATTAGTTTCAAATGAAGTTAAAATAAACCAATGGCTACCATGAAAAAAAGCGAGAACATGTAAAGCAGGAACAACGTTGTATAATACTTACACAGTTGCAAATTATGTTCTCATGTGTTCCTTAAAATATTCATCAAATGAAAATCTCACTTGGTTTTCATAACCTCATGAGATGGGTAAGGCAAGATTACTGTTATTCTCATTTAGCAGATGAGAAAGCCCAGATCCAGAGAAGTCACGTAATTTGCTCATTCACACAGCTACTACATGGCAGAGTAGAAACTACGTGGATTTTTGATTATACATGTGTGCTACTTTAATACCACGCTGTTTTCTACTTAACTAAGGGTGGTACAGCATGAGGGCCACGACAGCAGTCAGAGCCTCCCCCAAATACCCACCCCATCAGCCTTACGGTTCTCACAAATGAACACTCAGACGTCCTTAAATAGAGTACTTTAGATCAGGGTTTTCAAATTTGCTCTACTGACATTCTGAACAGGATAATTCTTTGTTGTGGGGGCTGTCATATGCTTGCAGGACATCTACCCACTACATGCCTGTAATATTCCCCCAATTTTGACAACCAAAACTGTCTCCAGACATTGCTAAATGTCTCCTGGTGGGGGCGGCAAAACTGTCCCCCCATAAGGACAGCTGCTTTAGATACTCTAGGTCTGTCTTGTCTTATGAAACCTGGTTTCATGTTAAGAGATCAACTCAGCAGCACAATTAGTATGTTTATGTTACAGATGAAAGAAAGAGTTCTAAACTGTAAGCCTCAGATGAAAAAAAATCTAGAGCTCTGAGACAAGACTATTTACAAAAAATCTACTGCATTAGCTACAGATCTCTTTATTTAAAGTTTAGCCAGGCACAGAGTTCTAACTTCTTAAGCATTCTGGCAGAAATAGGAGTACCAAGAGAAGGTGCTGCTTACTTGCAGTGGTTCTTTTGGGATATTTTGACCTTTTAATACTATGTACTGGGCTCTCAACCTCAAGTATGGTATGAAATTGTATGAAAGGATGGAGGATTCATGAACTTCCGGTCCAACACTAATGAAGAGAAATAGAAGTCACAAGTGCAAGCCACGTACATAATTTAAAAAGTTCTGGGGCACCTGCATGGCTAAGTCAGTTAAGCATCCAACTCTCGATCTCAGCTCAGGCCTTGATCTCAGGGTTGTGAGTTCAAGCCCCGTGTTGCGCTCCACATTGGGCCTGGAGCCTACTTTAAAAAAAAATATGTTCTACAATGATGTACTATATGTTGGCTAACTGAACATAATATATGTATATATATATATATATGTTCTAGTAGCCACATTTAAAAAGTAAAAAGAAACAGGTAAAACTAATTTTAGTAATTCTTTTATTTAACCCAATATGTCTAAAATATTATCATTTCAACATGTAATGAATATGAGAAATTATTGAGATATTTTACATTCTTTTTCTCATAATAAGTCTTCAAAATCCTATATGTATTTTACACTCACAGCACATCTTGATTCTGAGTGGCCACACTTCAAGGGCTCAGTAGCCACATGTGGCTACCATATTGGATAGCGTAGATCTAGCCTGTAAAGGAGAGGTACAAAAGGCAAAGGAGAAAAAGCTACAGTTACAAAAAAAATCCTATTCAACTTCCTTCTGTTTCTCTGTCTATTGGCACCAACACCAAATGGTTATATGTTTGTAGTAATAGGGCTTTTTATGACATTTTCCTTCAGCAGTACTGAATTCCTAGTTATATTTCTGGATTCAGAAATAATTATTGATGGTAATAGACAGACCTTTTTTTTTAAGATTTTATTTATGTTTTTGAGAGCGAAGCAAGAGAGAGAAAGAATGAGTGAGAGAGAGCACGAGCAGGGTGAGGGGTAGAGGGAAAAGCAGACTTCCCGCTGAGCAGGGAGCCCAACACAGGGCTCCATCCCAGAACCTTGGGATCATGACCTGAGCAGAAGGCAGACACTTAACCAACTGATCCATCCAGGTGCCCCAGTAATAGATAGACTTTTATGATAACAGTATAACATTATACAGCCCAGTGATAAATTTACTCATTTTTGTAAGACCCATTCTATATTAGTTTATTGCAAGTGTAGCTACAACTGTCTCTTTTTAAAAATATTCCATTATTTAAAAACTTAATTGTTAGTCACTAATAAGAGATAGACTCCAAGGCACTGACCTACATCTCTTGAATATATTTATACCACATTTGCATTTTAGTAGAGCTTGACTCGGTGGATTTGACATACTGCAGTACAAAAAATATTTCGCATTTTATGACTTCAAAGACTTGAAAATTTCACCAAGAATCACACAGCATCAAAGCTGATGGCTTGGTGAATTGCAAACTGTGTTTATACTACTGCCCCTTCATGATACCACTTCAGAGAGGAAACAGAAATGCTGACTCTTCAGCAATGTTTAGAAGTATCACATTTCTACCAGTGATTTCAGTGATTCCTGTTATTTTATCATTTACTATTATAAATGTAAAATCTTCTCGATAACTTCTAATAGTATCACTCCATGTTATTAAGTGGTGATGATAATGCTCAAGTTAAAATTGTGGCCCTGAAGGAATAATTTTAGAACCAGAGTTAAGTACGATAAAACTCTCAAAGAATGCAAACAACTGACATGAGGGAACAATCAACAAACTATTAGAGGTAACTGCTGAGAAAATAAGGAGCAGCATTAAAGCAAGAATATGCTATAATGATTATATAACTCCCAAACACCCACCCAAACACCCACTCCCCACACAAACACGTAATTCAAAACAGAATCTTGAATTATGCGAGTTTGGGATTTCTGACTTATATATCTCCCAGAAAGCATCTGTGATTATTTTGCATTTACTCTACAACTTTTAGAGGCACCACTGCTTTGGGCTGTTGTTTGGGTAATGGATGCCCAATGACTGGACCCAGGGTGAGTATCTATTCAGATACTCATGTGCAGGCTGGGAAGCAGTCTGGTATAAAAAGCACAAACAGCTTTGCCCAGTAGGAACCATGATGATCAGCAAGGCTGGACCTTCTCTACGAGGTTGAAAAGGGAAGTATGTAGGGAATCAGGTGGAAGCAGAAGAAATAGAGACATAAAGAGCAAAGTAGGGAGGGTGAGTTAGTCAAAGTAACGGCGGGGCCCCAGAGGAAGGATCCACAAACTGCATTCGGTGGAGGCAGTCAGAAGATCCTCTGGTCTCCACAACTGCCTCAGATTCCAGAACACAGACTTTATTCGGATTTCTGGGATACTTCTGTTTCTTTAGTGCCACTCTGCATCCATAGTGAATCCTGAGCCCGGAGGTAGTTCGAGAAAGCTACTGCCTAATACGTACACTCTTTCTCTGAAAAGATTTTCCTACAGAGGTAGTGAGTTGGCTATTCTTGCTTTCATTCACAGAAGGGCCTTGAAATGCTAAGATAAAGAGATTCTTCTATAAAAAAAGTAGCTTTACATACCTGCATTTTTTTCTCTTGCTCATTTTCTCCAATCATTCCAGTACCTGTTACACTTTCACTTCCATCAATGGACACCTAGAGGAATAAAATAAAGCTTAAAAAAGTTTTCCCTTTTGACATTTCTTTAGGCGATAAGTATATAGGGATTCATTATCATTCATTTTTGTGTTTGTTTGAAATTTTCTGCTATAAAAACCAGCAAAAAGAAACCTTTTAAATTATATGAAAGAGGGGAGCCTGGGTGGCTCAGATGTTTAAGCAACTGTCTTTGGCTCAGGTCATGATCCCAAGGTCCTGGGATCAAGCCCCACGTCGGGCTCTTGGCTCAGCGGGGAGCCTGCTTCTCCCTCTCCTTCTGCCTCTCCCCCTGCTCATGCTCTATCTCTAATGAATAAATAAAATCTTTAAAATAAATAATAAATAAATAAACAAATAACTAAATTTTATGAAAGATATATGTTCTGTGCAAGGAGAAAACCCAGCCCTTTTGATGTAAAACTTAACTGAGACTTTCCTTCACTTTTTCCAATCTCTGATTTCTACTTCTTAATTCATTAGCTGTTCCATCTATACTTTATTATAATTTCTTTTACAGCACTCATCCTTGAATATATCTTTCTGTGACTTATCTGTCACCATTTTCTTTTCTATAAGCTCTTATTCCATTCCATCTGTATTCAACTATTTCTTCCTACACTTCACTTCTTTCGAGATAAATACTGATCTTCTCCTTAAGGCTGTCTGATTTTGACTTTGAATTGCTAGTTTCTTATTCGATAAAGTACACTTTTTTGTTGTTTTATTTTCATGAAAAGTAAAGAAGCTGCGTCTGGGACGTTCTTGACATGGTAAAATGCTGTACCTTTGCTGCATACTGTTCCAAAGCACTGATGGTGTCGGGGTCAATCGTGGCATCCCCAGTGTGCAGACCTGCCACCGTCCCATCAGCCTGAATTGCCAAGATGGTGTCAGACTGCGGGACCTGCACCGCATGATGGATGTACGCGGTGGTGCCGTCTTCCAGCTGCACCGCCTGCAATGCGCTCTGGTCATAACTGTCTGGGGGAGGGGAAGAGAAGGGTATGAAATTAAAGGCAGTCTGACAGAGTTACACGTTAAAAGGAAGAAGGGAAGGAACTTCGGCTGAGTGGGTCCATGGGCCTTGCAGGTATGATTTCTTTCAATCCTCACAACGATTCTGTGAGGTAGGTATATTTACCACCCTCACTCTACAGAAGGGAAACTGAGGTTTGGGGGAAGTAAAGTCACTTTCCTTAGGAACCAGAAAATTGAGAAAACTAACAATTAACAGTCAAAATCAGTATGTGGAGGAACCAGGATCTAAACTCACGTCAGGGTGACTCCAAAGTCCATGGGCTTTTTTTCCTTCTAAATAAGCATACCAAGATATAGACAGCATTGTGAAATAATAAATCTAGCCAATCACAATGAACCTGTGATTAAGTCCCACTGCTAAAGAAGAATATTCAGAGTTTACTTTTTCTCAACTTTAATTAAACAAATTTACTTACAAATTTAAGTATTCTAAATTTTAAAAGATTTCCCTTTGGTTTCACAACTAAAATCTTTCTAAAACATGTTATGTCATTCCATAAAATATTCTATAAGGTAATAATAGCAAACATTTATTGAGCCTTTCCTATGTGACAAATATTGTGCTTTACATGTTTGCACATTCTGTCCTCATAACTACCCTATGATGTGGATACTTATTGTAATACTCACTTTACATAGGATGAAACTGAAGCACAGGGAGGTTAAATAATTTGAACAAGGTCACATAGCTAAAAGACAGCAGGCCTGGATTTGAATCCAGATAGTCTGGCTGCAGAGCTATGCTCATTACTCCTATGCATTCCACCTCAAGTCCCTGGGCCTCCCTACACGAAGTTAATAAGCATTAACATTTTTGCCACATTTGCTTCAAATAAATTTAAAATTTTTATTTCGTTTTAAAGACCAACACAATAGGCAAAGGATCTTGCTTAAAAATGATATTCAGGGGGCGCCTGGGTGGCTCAGTCAGTTGAGCATCTGCCTTCAGCTCGGGTCATGATCCCAGGGTCCTGGGATCGAGCCCCATGTCAGGCTCCCTGCTCAGCTCAGAGCCTGCTTCTCCCTCTCCCCACTGCTTGTACTCTCTCTCGCCATCTCTCTCACTCAAATAGATAAATAAAATCTTTTTAAAAATTATATTTAAGAGGAAAAAAATCAACAATTTAACTTTCAAATGTTTAATTTCCATATTCGAATAGTAGCCTCTATTTGAAGTCTTCCAGGGACCAGCTGTTTGCTATTCCAACCTGTTACTGGACAGCTCAAATGATTAGAATGTTTTCTCTTAGACTGTGCCCAAATCTGCCATCTTGTATTTCAGAGAACAAGTACAAATCTTCTTTTACGTGACAGCATTTCAGCAAACATAGGCAGGTCTTATTTTTCCCACACCCCCACTTCTCCCTTATTCCTATTTCCAAAGTTAGTTTACCTTTGGAGGTATGGTGAATAAACGCTGTAGTTCCATCTTCTAGCTGCACTGCTTGGCCATCCTCTAAACGCAAACTGTCCCCTGCTCAAGAACAATGCTTACATTTAGATCCCATGTTTTCGAACAATCTGATAACTTAGCAATAAGAGTCAATAAACCATTAAACACACTATAAAAACCTACACGTGTTTTATGAGTCCTTGAACATTAAAGTATTTTCAGTAAAGCTGCTTTAAGCAAGTGCTTAGCAAAAACATAGTAGAATACTTGTTTTAGGAATATATACTAGGGAATAAGGAGAGTTGAAAGAAGGGGGATAAAAAAGGAAGAAAATGAGAGACATGTAGGAGTTAGCTCAAGTGATAGAAATATTCACGTAGGATATCTCTAGAGTGTAGTCCAGTAACTTCTTTTTCATTATCTTTGAGACGAAGTCTCAGTGAAGTCCCAATGGTCTTTAGATCCTCTCTTTGACACCTACTGATCTCCCCTTTCAAAAGGAAGACTAGAGACCCCAAACAAGTTTACACAGTAAGAGGTAAGCTGGAGGCAGCAAATACTGAAGTCTGAGAATCGGGAGGGTAAGTAAGTGTCAAATACTTACTACTTTTAGGTATGGGTACATGTTGAACATAGGCAGCAGAACCATCCTCCAATTGAATGACCTGGCCATCTATGAGTTTTCCATCTGGAACAAAAGATTTAAGCCAATAAATAAGCACAAGCAAACATTTTAAACTTTATACAATTTCAAAATAGTATCAACTATAAAAACATACACTACTTAAGATCATGTTCATCTTGATTCTTCCCTCAATGTTCTGAGGCAATTCAAAAACACATCCAGTGATCCTACAGAAAGCAGAAAATCCTCCCTCAGCCATTCTTCCTCCCCTCTAATTTTCAATTAAATAAGTTTAAGAGGAAGAGTGGCTCATCACAGCAAGCTATGTGCGCTAAATCTATTTACCTTTCAGAGCCACTTAGGTACAGTGACCCTGACTACAGGGAAGCTGAAACTGGGAAGACTGACAGATACGTCAGTGTATATGAGGCCAGATGTCATTGTCATTTCTAGGTGCTAGAAGTCCACTGACTATGTATACATGTGCTCAGTAGGTTCCCATAAAAACAAGAACTGAGCTGTTTCTCTGAGCAAAGTAAACACTGATTTACAGATAATGTTATATAAGCAAAACCAAATGTCTATACCTCCATGCATGTTTTGTAAAAACATTAAATAATAACTTGAACTAAAAAAGCAAGAAGGGTCTTACTAGAAAGAGGTTGGCAACACTCCCCCCATTTCCCCACTAATTTTGACACCCCAGAGTATATTCCAAATATCTCAAAGGGTGTCCCTAAATTATCAAAACAAATTTAAATTAACCTGAAACTATTGAAAATTACCATATGCAATACAGCATCTTTAGAATGGGCTGGGAAGGGCTGGAGGTGCTAGGTGCTCCAACTCTGAGGTTATGAATTGCCGGTATTAACCCATGGGCTGTGTAAGTGGCACGTACCTTTAGAATTGTGTTGTATATAAGCGGTAGAACCATCTGCAAGTGTTACTGCTTGCAAGCTTACACCTTCCATATTTTCTAAATTGTCACCATCTATCATAAAAAAAGTTATTTTCTTTAGATAACTATCACACACACATGCTGTCTAAATTAAGTTTTTTAAATGAAAATTAGGCATAAGGCAGACTGCTTAACTTAAGACTCAAATGGGAGTTCTAGCATTTACAAAAAATATCTCCCTGTCCTCCTGCACCCAGTGTCCACAGCAAGGGAACCCACATGATCCCCTCAAATAAATACTGCTCACCTGCCACTGTTACTGCCTCTGTCAGGCACAGGGTAACGTGTTGAGCCTCCATTCCTCCTCCAGGAAACTCTGTCATTCCCTGAGAATCTCGATTTATTTGGGCTAACAACATTTTCTACCTTGAAGAAAAATATAGGCACTTGAGAACAAGGAACAATGCAAATAAAATAAAAGCTACAAAGAATATTCATGAACCACAGAAATTTGCTACAAAAATAAACAGTGTTTGAAATAAGCTGAAATTTCACTCAATATGCGGGGTAGGAGTATTAACCCAAAGTCCAAAGCACGCTTTCCATAATTCATCAGTAAACTATTGAGCACACTGACAACTCTTGCCTATCAGTTTTGTCCCATGTCCTAAAGCTTCCACTTCATTAGAGTTCTTTGGGTTTAACACGGTGGATTCCCACTTACTTCCACAATCCTGTTGCCTCGATCTGCAGAGGGCCGTCTTGAGTCTCACTTCTCACTCTGCCAGCCCTGCCCTGATTCAAGCCACTGCCACCTCTTGCCCACATGACTGCCATATAGCATCCTAACGGGTCTCCCTGCTGCCCCTGTGACCGCCCCACAGTCTCCTCTCAACACAACAGGCACTGTGCCCTTGAGAAGGGAAAAGTTAGATCATGTCCCTCTTCTGCTCAAAACCTTCTGATAACTTATCAGAGTAAAGCCAAAAGTCTTTACCCTGGCCTCTGAGGCCGATGATCTTGCCCCTCACTTCCTACTGCTATCTCATTCATTTTGTTTCAGCCACATTGGTGTCCCTCCTTTGCTCAAACACACTGGGTGATGTAGCCTCAGGACCTTTACAGTTGATGTTCCTTCTGCCTGAAACATGCTTTGCAGTCTCTTCACTGTTATTCCCTCATTTTCTTCAAGTCTTAATGTTGTTACCCCAATGAGAGCTTCTTTGTTCACTTCATTTCAAACTGCACCTCCCACCTCCCAACCATGATATACCCTATCCCTTTTCCCTCCTTTATTATATTTCTACATAGCACTTATGATTTGACATATTATGTGTATTTACTTAGTTTGTTTCTGTTTGTTTGTTTTAGAGGGAGAAGGGGAGGGGCGGCGAGGGGCAGAGGGAGGAGAGCACCTTAAGCAGGCTCCACACCCAGTGCAGAGGCCAATACGGGGCTCAATCTCATGACCCTGAGATCATGACCTGAGCCAAAATCAAGAGTCGATCCTTAACTGACTAAGACACCCAGGCGCCCCTATTTAGTTTGTTTCTTATCTATTTTTCCCTCCACTAGAATGCACTGGGATTTTTATCTGCTTGCTCACTGCTGACTCACATGTCTAAAAGGTACTAGACACATAACAGACACACAACAGGTGCTAAATAAATGTATGAATGGCTCTTTTGCCAGTCACCACCACAACCGCCTTCCTCTCTTTTCCTACTTCCAGGTCCCATTATCTCTGGAGGCCTTGAGTTGCTTTACACAGGAGTTGGGATAACTTAGCTGCCTTGAGCCAAGGAATTGGACCAGAGGATCTCTTGAGGACTTTCCAGGTCTAAAGATCTGATTTTAGTGTCAATATTTAAAACAACAATGTGCAGATAGTAATAATTTGCAATTGTATTTATGACTACTTGAAGATTTTTATTTTAGAAACACTAAACTGTACCCTTTGGTAAAGCCAGGAAAGTATCACCACGGTGATAAAAGTCAATCAAGGGCTGACTTTTCAGGGAGTCCTGAAAGAGTCACATCCACAACTGTTCATAGAGCACACTGAAACTTCAACACTTCCTTGCTACCTCTAAGGGTTAACAGAGAAGCCTCAAAGTAACACTAGTATTCTGCTGTTAAGACGCCTGATGAGAATAGGATTGGGAGAGGTTAATTTTCAGAACAAGTTCTATCACTCTGTAACGGAAACAAATTAAGATAAGGAAATGGAAGGGAAACACCTATAAAGATGTAGTAAGCATTGTAATTTCTGCGGTATTCTAGGAGATGAATTTTTTAAAAGGCAGATTACAAGGTAATTTGGGTCATGGTGTTAAGAAATGTCTTAAAAAAAATGTCTTAAGGTTTGTCTTTTTTTTTTTTTTTTTTTTTTAGATTTTATTTATTGGGGCGCCTGGGTGGCTCAGTCGTTAAGTGTCTGCCTTCAGCTCAGGTCATGGTGGCAGGGTCCTGGGATCGAGCCCCGCATCAGGCTCCCTGCTCCGTGGGAAGCCTGTTCTCCCTCTCCCACTCCCCCTGCTTGTGTTCCCTCTCTCACTGTGTTTCTCTCTGCCAAAAAAAATAAATAAAATCTTAAAAATAAATAAATAGGGGCGCCTGGGTGGCTCAGTCGTTAGGCGTCTGGCTTTGGCTCAGGTCATGATCCTGGGGTCCTGGGATCGAGCCCTGCATCGGGCTCCCTGCTCAGAGGGAAGCCTGCTTCTCCCTCTCCCACTCCCCCCGCTTGTGTTCCCTCTCTCGCTGTGTCTCTGTCAAATAAATAAATAAAATCTTATTAAAAAAAGATTTTATTTATTTGAGAGAGAGAAAGAGACAACAAGCAGGCGGAGGGGGAGAGGGAGAGGGAGAGGGAGAAACAGACTCACTGCTAAGCAAGGAGCCCTATGCGGGGCTCGATCCCAGAACCCTGGGAACATGACCTGAGTTGAAGGCAGATGCTTAACCGCCTGAGCCACCCAGGCGCCCCTAAGGTTTGTCATTTTTTTTTTTTTTTAAGATTTATTTATTTATTTGAGAGAGAGAGAGCACGAGCAGGGGGAGAGGCAAAGGGAGAGAGAAAGGAAGAAGCAGACTCTCCGCTGAGCAGGGAGCATGACGCGGGGCCTGATCCCCAGACCCCTGGGATCATGACCCAAGCCGAAGGCAGACGCTCAACCGCTGAGCCATCCAGGTGCCCCAAGTTTTGTCATTTTCATTTAATTACTTAAAATCTCCAAATAACTACAGTATATAGCATCAACAGGTAACTGACATATCTGCAATAAATAAAAGCTCTCCCTTGCATGAAAGCTGGTCAACTGTTAAATTTCTTTAGGAAGGCTTCAGCACCTATAGTTTTGATCCTAATTGCGGGGGGGAAGCTACATTAACTGAACGATGAAGAGACAACTGTTTCTTGGACATAAACTGCTGGCAAATACATGAAGCAGTGATGGGAGAAAGGGCTTAGAGGAGTTCAAATGGTACTACAATTACCAAAGATAGTAAGTGATGGCAGGTATACAGCACATTTTCTTTTTAAAGTTCTCAAAAAAGACTGTGGGATACAAAGGTCTTTGTTAGAAAATGATCACATGGGGGAAAATATGACAGTGAAGAAAAGGCATGAATGAGCCACAGACCAAACTCTGCAGCTGCTCACATCATATCCATCATCGTGTCTTCTTGATCATTTCTGTCACTGACATTTTCGGGATGTGTGGAAATGAACATGTAAGATATATATGATATCTTTAGAAAGGGCCACCTTCTGAAAGGTAGTCAATTTCATGTGCTTTAATAATGAATCATGGGCCAAAATCAGACAAAGAGGAGGCTATGCTAGAACACTCCAGGAAACTCCAAGAAGACACAGTGTGTAATAAAGTCCCTGCCTTTCTGGAAGATGATGATGCATGTCAGCCTACGAAAAACATACCATGGGGCACCTGGGTGGCTCAGTCGGTTAAGCATCTGCCTTCAGCTTGGGTCATGATCCCAGGGTCCTGGGATCAAGACCTGAATCAGGCTCCCTGCTCAACAGGGAGTCTGCTTCTCCCTCTCCCTCTGCCCTTCCCCCTGCTTGTGCTCTTGTGCTCTCTCTCTCAAATAAAATCTTAAGAAAAAGGACACATACTGCATGATTCCACTAATAGGAGGTATCTAAAGTAGTCAAACTCTTAGAAAGTAGCATCGTGGTTGCCAGGGACTAGGGGACAGTGGAAAAGGGGACTTGTTCCCTAGAGACGCATTTTTGCAAGATGAAAACTTTCTAGAGGTCTGCAGCACAACCCTGTGTATACAGTTAACACTACTGTATTGTACTCAAAAATGATTAAAATGTAAATTTTATGTTGTGCTTTTTTACCATAATTTTTTAAAAAAGAACTGGGTGGCTCAGTCAGTTAAGTGTCCTGGGATGGAGCCCTGAGTCAGGCTCCCTGTTCAGTGGGGAGTCTGCGTCTCCCTCTCTTTGCCCCTCCCCCTGCACATGCTCACACGTGCTCTCTTTCTCAAATAAATAAAATCTTTAAAAAAAAAAAGAGCTGAACACATATGGCAGAATGTTAGGATCTGTTAAAAGCTGGGTGGGTACATGGGTGTTCATTCAATTACTTATTCTCCTCCTTATGTTTGACAGATTTCATAATTTAAATAAATAAATGAAATGAAATGAAATGAAATGAAATGAAAAATATCCGGGGCACCTGGCTATCTTAGTTGGAAAAGCATGAGACCCTTGATCTTGGGGTCGTGAGTTCAAGCCCCACATTGGTGTAGAGATTACTAAAAAAATAATAATAAGCTTTTAAAAAAAGTGAAAAACATCTATATCGGCAAGAAGAAAAAGAATGTCTGAAAATTGGTTAAAATTAGTAACTGAATACTAGGTTTCAACTCTTAAAAAAAAAATCAGTATTTCCTCACTGATTTGAATCTATATCATACCAATATTTTAAAATGTGAAGACCTGGGGCACCCTGCTGGCTCAGTTGGTGGAGCATGTGACTCTTGATCTTGGGGTTGTAAGTTTGAGCCCCATGTTGGGTAGAGAGATTACTTTAAAATCTTTAGAAATGATAAAATAAAATATAAAGACCTCAGATATTCCAAATTTGTTAGAGACCATTATTACCACAAGTTATTATGAAAACATAAGTCTAACCGACCAGGTATAAAAGCAAGAACTCCAAAAGCAAGTAAACTTTATCATGATAAGAAATGATATAAAAAGGGATGCCTGGGTGGCTCAGTTGGTTAAGCATCTGCCTTCGGCTCAGGTCATGATCCAAGGGTCCTGGGATCGAGTCCCACATCGGGCTCCTTGCTCAGCAAGGAGTCTGCTTCTCCCTCTGCCTGCCGCTCCCCCCTGCTTGTGTGCACGCTCTCTCTCTCTCTCTCTCTCTCTCTGATAAATAAAATCTTAA